TTATCACTCCAGGACCAAGAAGGATTCTGTGAGGCAATAGAAACAGAGTATAGTTTGAATGGTTAATAGTTTGTTGTTGACAAACTCGGGTGGAGCGATGTCTATGGAACTGGTCCATGATGATGTCTACGGTGAAACCTGGTGATGGACGATGACACCTGGCAGTTCTCACCCTGCTGTTTGACATTTTAAGCAGAAATGGCAACGATCAGCAGCAGCTGAAAGGTGGGAAGCTGCTACCTGAATGATTTCCACACTGAGTTTTGGTAAAAAGAGTCATTGTCAGTGACACTGCTGTGCCCAGACATCTGGTAACACAAGGTAACGATTAGGATGATTTGTTTAAGACAGTTGTCACAGAGAACAGGAAAGTTTGATCAGTAAGAAATTTGGGGGAAGGGGGGTATATACCTCTGGTGTTTTGTGGCCTCCAATCCACATTTGTTCATTTACACCACCAGCCTTCTGCACCACCTGTAGAATTTCACGTGCCATGCTATTCCAAAATACAGATGCTAGGTGCCCCTTCATGGAAATGCAGTTTTTCTACAGAGGAGAGTAAAACAGCCTTGGTAGTAGGACACAATAAGAAGTGAATACAGTGTTAGCTTGAGTAAAATCATTGTACTCCGAATACTGAACCTTGCTGATTACCTGAGCTTCAGCCCAAGTCATTTTGTTTGGAACGTAGAGGATACATTGAGTGGCAGTTGTAGTCCAACCGTTAGGGCATCCTGGAACCCACGCCTCTCCGTAGGCTTTTTGTGAAGACAAATACATAATAGAGAGTAAGACTGAGTCCACAGGAGGCCAAAGAATATGTAAGTGCACTTTTGAAGACTAGAGTTATTTATTATTGTAAAAATTAGTTTAAAAAACCCCAATCTGTTAGAACTGCTGCAGCCAACAGGTCCACATCTGTTTAAACTGGACACTTTAACAAGTTACTGACATGGAACATGTCCTGTTTTACTTCTGTGTATCTATTCTTTAATTTTTAGATGTGTTTGAACAGATTAACTGGTAACACTTTATTTTACTGGCCAAGACTTGGAACATGTGCGGTTTTACTTATGTGTCTCTTGTAAATGTATTACTTTAGAAATATCCTGAGTACTTACTTGGTTCAGTGTTTTCTTCTGTTGAATCCTCACCCTCTGCTTTTAGAAAATTTGGTTGAAAGAAGCAATCAGATCCTTTACTTAAAGGAATAGTACAGTACTGTCGTTGAAGTACATGTACTACATTGCAGGCAGACGGGTAGATGAAAATACTGATACCACGCTCATGTTTGTCTTTACTTTTTTTGCATGTGTTTGAACAGATTAACATCCAGAGAGAGAGATGTTTTTAAAAAAGTGAAATAGTAATAACACATGTTCAGTCCTTCAGTAAACAGCCAGTAAATACTCACCATCAGCTCTGTTCAGAGCCAACATGGTGCACACACAGAAAAACAGAGTCAGGATCTTCATGGTGGAGACGAGGTCGAACGTAAAGATGCTGAGAACCTTTGATAAACAGACAGACGTGTTACTCATGTCGACAGTCAGTAGGTTAAAGAAAGGAGAGAAGGTGATGGGTGAGTTTGAATCAGACCTGCTGTAAAATGATCTTCTCCTGTTTGTCCTCAGTGTCAGACTGTAGCGTCAGTCTTGATGTGTAGAGGTGCTGACAGAGAAGAAGCACCTCTTATATACAGGTATAAACAGCAGCCAAGGCTACTCAGAGTCAACACACAGAGAGAGATGAAAACATGTAAAACTGTTCCAAATATTAAAAACATGAGCGTCAAGTCACGTTAGCTTTATGCCAGTGGTTTTTATCTGGTGAAGGTGTTGGTCCAAGAAAGCCCTTGATCAGTTTCACACATTGCTCAAAGCTCACCTGGCACCTGCAGTCAATAGAAACGTCAGTGATCTGTGAAAGAAAACATTTGCTCACTGCTTTTTATTACAATTAAAAAATGATTAATACTTTTTTTTCACGCATCAGACAGATCACTACACCGACCATGACATGAGGCCAGTTATGCGTTAACAAGAAAAATACATCAGATTATCATGTTGGTTGTGGTGTTTGCTGAGCGTATTGTAATGATTATAATACATTAACTCCATGGTTTGAAACCCTCCAGTGTGCAGGAGTCAGGTCATACAAAACACTATGAATATTTCAAGTCACAAGAAATTTTAGGCAGAGCCCAGAAGCTAAAGGCTGTTAGTTCATGGAAATCAGAAACCTGAAGCAGAACACATTGGTCTAATCTGTATTATCCCTTAATTGCACCCCTGAGACATGCTGCTAAGACTCTGTGTGACAGTCAAGTGGGTGGTGGCATCTTCTGGGTTATGCGTGAGAAAGTGAGGACAAGGTGTTAAGAAACAAGAATGTTGTTGATTGAAGTTGAGAGTCGAGATGTATCCGTAAGAGCATCCTCTAGTT